TATAATCTTAGACTTTGTTTTTAATATTGAGCAGTAGATTGGCTTTTGCATTCTTTCCTTTCACTTTCAGGAAGACATTTTAAGTCTTCCTCAGTTCCGACCATGAAACTAGTATTCATACTATAGCTGAGATTGCTAATATTTCTTCCAGCAATTTTAATTCTGATTTATATTTCTTCTAGCTAATTTTTTTTGTATCTCAGGTAAATAAGAAGACAACATGTAAATTTGTGAGGGGGCAGAATGGCTCAAATGTTAAAGATGCTGAACTTATCAGCTGGAAAGCTGATAACTCAGGTTCAAGCACAATGGGGTGAGCTTCTATTACTTGCTCCAGCCCCTGCCAACCTAACAGTTCAAATGCATGCAAATGTGAGTAGATAAATAGGTATCACTTCAGTGAGAAGCATTCTATGTGCCTCAGCATATAGTCATGCCAGCCAGTGGTGACATTCAAATTTTTTCCCTACTGGTCCTGTGGGTGTGGCTTGGTGGGGGGTCCTGTGACTGAGTGGGCATGGCCAACTCAATGTCACTCACAGCCACGCCCACTCGCATGACACCCCCCACCAAGCCACGCCCACAGAACCCGGTAGGAAAAAATGTGTGTATGAGCACAAGAAGGGCTCATAGTGAATGCTGTGACAGACAGAATCCGAACCTTTCTCCCTCCATTCACAGCGAAGCTGCTACTCCCTTTATGTTATCCCTCTTGGCCTCCTCACTCCCAGGGGTCGAAGTACCTAAAAGGGACAGGCTCCAACTGCTCCACTGTAAATGGAGGGAGAAAAGGTGATCACACGCAAAGCGCATGCACAAAGAGAACTGGTGGTCATGCCGGTTGGAACCCACCACCTGAACACTACTCCCGAGAGTCGGACATGACCGGACAGGGGAAACCATTTTCTTTTATGTAAACTTGCTACACTTCTTTTCCAATGCTGAACTATTTAGCTCCATATTCTACAGTGAGTGTTGTGTCTTGCTAATCATGCAAATTCTTCAATGGCCCACATTTTAAGGAACTGTTCATAATTTACTGTAATTTACATAGACAGAGGCCTTTGTCTAATCAGTAAAATATTTTTTTGATTTTTTGTGGCACAACTCTTAAGTCTTTTTCTTCATTTATTAAAGAATTGTCCATATTCTACTTCTCTATATCATTGCAATATACAGTTGGATCACAATAACACTGTTGGTTTGCCTTGAATTCAAATTGAGATTATTTTATTGTGAGTTGGTTTGGGCTCAGTTGGGTTGGGTTGGGTCTGATCTGATCAACTTGGACTTGGCTTGGCTTGTTTTTATCCCAGCACCAACTTTAACACTGTTAGTTATACATTTCATTTCATTTCATTTCATTTCATTTTATTATTTTATTTTATTATTTTATTTTATTTTAATATTTTATTTTATTTTGTCTTGACATTTATATTCTGATAATATTGCTTGGTTCATGATGATTGATGGATGGATGGATGGATGGATAGATGGATAGATGGATAGATGGATAGATAAGACCAACTACAGGGAAAAATGAGAATCAAACTTTCCTTTTTGTTCCTTATTATTGGGTAATATTCTAATAGTTATGACTAGATAATAGAACCATATACCTATAGAAAAATGGACCACGTTTGTTTCAAATGCTGTTTTCTAAGAACCAAATTAAAAGTATTTAAAATAAAGCCACAGTATTAAATATCCAAAATATTTTATTATATGTTCTAATGTTATAAAGAAGAGAAAGCAGTCAGCAGAACTAAAGGTAGGTCAACTCTATCTACCTACCCTCTTCTGGGACGTTGTCAGAAGGGGGAAAAGCCTCCTCTTTCCTTATAAAACTCTTTAAATAAATAGGAGATTGCCTCAGAGGAAAACTGAAGCTTGGGAGTTGGAGATATTTTCATTGAGCATTTGGCAGGTAAAAGATTAATCAGTTTGTACTCCCATCCACCCACCTTCTTTCTGCAAAAGAAAACAAGATGCAACTACAGCCTTCATATTAGCATAACTTAGAGACCCTATTTTCAGATCACATTAATATCCATGTATGTGATTAATTATAAGCAAAGAACCATTATGAATTCTAAAAAAGCAAAATCATTCTAGTTCAGAGGGGGAAAGTACATGGTGTGATGGTGTGGGTTTTTGATATTATTATGAGGGCAGCTGTATTACTTTCTTTTTAATAAGAAAAAAAATAGAAAGGGGTTAAAATCAAACTGTAATTTTTCACTTTTGTAACTATATAATTGCTTTCCAGCTGCTCAGTATATTTATCTCTTGTGTACTTTCTGGGTTTTCTGCTAGGCTGAACAACAATTTTAAGATCAGCAAACAATAGCTTGGATGCTCTGTTTTGTTTTGTTTTGTTTTTCCTTTTTAAAGTGTAAATGTAAAAGCAACTGATTGTATATGATAGTTGCCTAAGTTGCAGAAGCTCTTACTTTGAATTTCCTTGGCAGCTCAAGTTACTGATCAATGGTCTGGTGAGCCATCAATGGTCTGGTAATCTTAGCAATTCATAACCATAAGTTTAATGTTCAATGCAAAGGAGAAGAAATATCTTCAGATACCTAATGTTGAGGGAGGGGAGTGGTGGACGTTGTTGAAGAATATTAAATTTACCATCTTGCGTGTTATTAAAGGTGGGAAAGATACACGTAGTATATAACATGGATTCTAGCTACATCAACTCATCAAACTTGCAATGGATCAAAAATATGAACACATAACTTTTTTGTTGTGGCTGTGAATTCTTGGGGCCATTTTGTGATGATAAAGCACAAGGGAACTCAAATTTCAACCTTTTCTTTTATATGAAGTTAACTTGACTGTTCACTTTCAGGCTTTTTAAGGTTCTGCTGTATACAGGCAACCATTTCCATAAGTCTATTAACCATCACAGAAAGATAATTTTCTATGAGTTCCACTTTCAAATGATAGACAAATAACAGAAACATTCAACATTGGACATTGGTGGCAGAAATAGCTAATAACACCTAAGTAGATTCAGTTGCTATTTACTATTATTATATTTAATGAGAAGCTTGAGCAGAGCTTTGTTTGATTTCTAAGGTATCCTTATGTTTTCGATGTGTTGGAGATATTCTTTTGGGGAAGGAAGTTGAAAAGTCCATCAGTAGAAATTGCCAAACTGCCAGTTATTATCATTGAATTGGCTTCTGAGTTGGGTTATGAGCCAATTCAGATTTGTATGCACTTTGCATTTTACAGTTATGAAATCACTGTTCTATACTAATCAGAGATCATCTGGAACTTCATAGAATAGAAGAGGTCACTAAAGATTGACAATGATACAGAGAATAACTTCGGTTAGAAATTGCTAAAGAAAATATATAGTTAGGAAAGGAAAAAAAGACATGGGATATGCTTTCAAACACTTGTGCAATTTTATGCAGAAGACATTCCTTATCTGCTGCTGAACAAAATGATTCTAAATTTGTTTATTTATTCTAATCCTAAATTAATTTATATATGATTTATATAGCTACCCATCTAAGACAAGTGACTCTATGTGGCTTACAAAGATTAAAATACAGAAAAGCCATCATACATAACACCCTGGTGCCTAAGAATAAATATTAAATCCACTCTCAAACATCTCCAAATTAATAAAACAGTGTAAATTTGAATTGAGCATTCATGAAACTTCTGATTAGCAATATCCAGATCATCACTATGCAATTAGACAAGAACCATAATGCAATTTTACACAATATTGAGATAATATTTATTATTATTATTAGTTGCATAATCAGCCAGATGTTTAGACTGGATTTGGCATTTCTATCTATCAAGTCCTTCCCAAACACCTGGAATATGCAGATGTTGTTGCTTATGGGTGTTAAAAGTATTGTTGCAGGATGTAAACTGTTCCAAGTAAAGCTGCCTTTTGCAACTGATGGTGATTTTGTCAGTACTGGTGGTATTTATTATTATGGTTGGTCTCACAGTCAGCCAGATGTTTAGATTGGATTTGGCATTTTGATCCATCTATTGAGTCCTTCCCAAGGACCTGAGATAGACAGGGAATATTATTATTATGATTGGTCCTCCAGGTAATCAGATGTTTAGACAGAATTTTGAATTTTTATCCACCTGTTTTTACATCCACAAAAATATGACATCACAGCTGCCAATTCTTTAGCTGGTGTTGGCCTTCATACCCATCAAGTTCTTCCCAAGAACCTCGGATTTCATAATTTTTAAGCATAATATATGTGCATATTCAAGCACTGTGGCTTTTTCAATTGACAGGTGGAAATTTTGTCAATGCACAGATTTTCTAAGTACTGTCCAAGATTTTTGGTATGGCACCCAGTGTGCAAATATTATTATCCACTAGCTTTTGGAATTCCAGGTCATCTATTGACAAAGGTCTACAGGATTCAGGACAGCTGGTTGAGCAACCAAAACCAGCAGATGTAGGACCACTGGAAGAAAAGATGCTTTACCTGTTGCAAATATTCAACCATTGGAAAAAAAAGAAAAGAAATAATGATCTGTTATTACAAATCAAACCCAATGAGAAGAGGATATCTGAAATTAATTTTGTGTAGCATACTGTGATCTAGAAAAGAATAGAAAAATTTAGAAATTTTTAAAACCATTTTTAATAGTGCATTGGGAATATGGTAATTCTGAATTTCCTGAAGGAATGAAACATGATGTCTTCAAGACCCCATCAAAATATATGTTTACAAAATACTTTTTGTATTTTAAAACTTGGTGATCAAATGAGGCAGAACAGATAACTGTTTGCCACAGAAGCCAGTTGAAATAAAACAAAGACTATTCCTTCCAAACTGATCAGAGAGAGGACTCTGGATTAGAGGACACCTTTCTGGAAAGAAGATCTACTCCCACATTGTGCATAGATGTAATTCAGTGTAGACAATATTCTGCCTTTCTTACTTTGAAACTGATTGTAATAACGGGTAATCATATATTTATTTGTCTCTTCCTAACAGATCTTGAAAATTTCAAAACCAGGACGAGGAGTACAGTTTCAGTTAGACAAGGACAGGGAATGGTGTTGCTTTGTGGACCTCCACCACATTCCGGAGGTGAGAAACCAAATTGTTTTGGATCTAAACTGTTCAAGCTTTTCAAAAGCAAAGCGTGTAAATCCATATAGTAATTCTGTGTATTAATCACGTTGCAGTTAAGGCTTATTTAAAGGAATAAGCTTTACTTATCTGTAAATCATGTCCTCATATTGACGTTGGTTCAGTAGAATAACGTTGAAAAGGTTTAGATTCAAATGTTGGCAGATCTCAGCAGGCATCTTAACTTGTTGTATGAAACAGATGGTTAGTTCAATAATATGCATTATTTGTATGAGCGTAGTGTTTTATATGAATGTAAACATTGTGTTTTATTATATTATATGAATCTAGCTCTTAAATCATGATAAATGTACTATTCTTAGGCATACAAATCTTTAATTTTATTAGGTGATGCTCAGTAATAATATCAATTCACATTTCTAGCATTTTGACCATTGCTATTTATTTGGCCAAATGTAAATAGACACAGAAGGAATTTGTCTACAGTTCAGAAGCTTTCAGTGTACATGCAAAGCAAGAGAAAAATGATAATCATAATAATAATAACACCAATAAGAAGAGGGAGAAAAAGATAATAAGGATAAATAATAGTGTTACAGTCATACTACATAGGTAAATAGATTGTGAGAATTAGGTATTCAGCAGAGTGAAAAACTGATCCTGTTTCTAGTTTTTTTGGCCTGTAATTTTCTATATAAAGAAATCATATCTTATCCCAATAGCTTTAGTACATAAAAGTATATACAATGGTGAATACAAGTTATAACTTAATATTATTTAATGTTTCTTTGAATCTTAAATACAGCTTCATTAATAATTTTTTTTAAAAAAAATAATCTTAATCTATTCAGCATGAACTGATAATCATGCATTGTGTAAAAGGGTTCATTGTCCTCTGTGGAGACAGGATACATACCAAACCTTGCTTTTTAACTGGGGCCAGAATCAGTGATAAAGTTGTTTCAAGAACACACTTCAGAAGAATTAGAAGCAATTTTTAAAAAGAGTTGGCATAGGAATAGATGGCAAAAAAACCAGGATAAAATGAGCAGTAATTTTCTACAAAGAATATTTTGTTCTAATATGATTCCTATTTTTGTAAAGGATTCTCAAAACTATGTTGTTAAAATAGCTTTTTAAGGTCTGTGTTAATAATATATGGCTCTCTACTGGAAATATTGCCTCCACATTCTTGGGAAAGACTTAACAATGATCACAAGGGGATAGTTTTAAGTTGTTCAGTGTGGAGAGTTCTATTTGGCATGTATGAGTGTAGTATTATCAGCAAATCTATATTTAAGAATGACTTACAGTTCAAGAGCACTCTCAGTAGTATCTTTAGAGCTGGTAGGTACATGGTGGACATATCTAGACTTAGTTATATAGTCAGATTCTGCATATTTAAATAAAAGTGAAGGGCATAAAGCATTCTCTGTTGTGTATGATTGTGCTTTGTACGTTACAAAACAGTGGACAAACTCTGAAGTACAAAGGGGAGGAAATATCAATATTTTTTTTTATATTTAAGGAAAAATGTGTTGAATAGTGTTGGCAAAGGACATGGTAGAAGTCACATCCTTTGTTTACCAAAAAGATTTTCAGATAAGTACCAAGGTTTCATCAAAAGGCATCCTCTGTCATGCAGTCAATATTTAAAGATATATTTGTATATTCTTATTATCATGGAAAACCCAGCTATAGCATCTGTACTATACATTAGTCATTACACTGCTTCTAAGGATACTCTGATAGCTTCTTTGCTAATCATATAAAAAGTACAAGGTAAAATGAGGTCTCTAAAATGGACATCCTGAGAGAGCTGTATATAGTTTTGTTATTAACTTACTAGCAAGTAGTCAGCATTTGGTTTCTAAAATTGAGCAAGCAAGTATATATTTTATATGAACTTCCTGTTTCTGTAACAGATAAATATATTGGTGATTCTGCAATTTTCTCTCTTAAAGATGGTCTATGCTGCAAACTGACTTTGAATCACCTGGAATGGCAGAAACTTTTCTTTTGGCCATTGTTATGAGAAATTCTATATAAGTGTGTATAAGCTTAAAAATCAGTTAAGTTGACAAATTTTGTGTAGAGCCAGGTTCCAGTATTTTGGTTCCAATCAACAATATGATATACTGTATATTCATAGATCATTGCCATTCTGCTATTATTTATTATTACAGTATATTATTTATTGCACATTACTTTTTGTCTTAAAAAGAAATTACAGTTAAGTAAAATACTAAAATGATTTCAAGAACTTGAAAAAACAAAAACAAAATGCAGGGAGGAAGGGAGGATTTCTGATGCTCCCTGTCAGCTTTGCACAAGAAAATTCAATGGAGAAGCCAGCAGGAAATTGGAAGTTACTCCTGCTCCAACTCCTTTTTTTGCACATCTATTTCCCATTTTAGGTAAGAAAGTATCTCTGAAACAATGACCCAATGAATCATGGGTTCTCTATTATACCATTGTAATAATGCTTTTCTGAAATTAGCGCCTCCTAAGGTCTTCGATGAACAATATTTTTTAAATCAGTATTGAAGGGTATTAATATTGATTATATCTTTTAACATAACAGTTAAAAGTATTTGACACAGAGACAGAAACTTCATATCTAGGTTAATAGAGAATTGCATTCCCTAATCAAATAATTTAAACATTTTTTCTGTCAAGACTTACTGTATAACTTACCAGCTCTACCTTAATCATACAAAAAATAATAATTTTATATTTTCAAGAGTCATGGTAGCTAATCTCAAATAACGTTCCTTACCTTGTGAACTTAATAAATATTTTTGTGTCATTGCCAAATGCTATTTTGGAAGATTAGAGCTATTTTGATTTAATAATATTTTCTTCCAAATATGACTGTGCTTTGTTTGTTGCAGAGGTAACTTAGAAGATTAGATAGATAGGTAGAAGATAGATAGATAGATAGATAGATAGATAGATAGATAGATAGATAGATAGATAGATAGATAGACAGACAGACAGACAGACAGACAGTAGATAAAGAGAGATAGAGAGATAAAATTTATGTACATAATATGCATGATTAATATAAATTATTATTCTAATGGGGAAATATTTTCCTCTACATTCATAGAAATGTCATTGTGCTGCAACTATAAACATCATTGAAAAGTGGAAGAAAACAGATTTCTGCACTAGTGGAAGGAAGCTAAGAATTTTTGGTTCTTGTGGTTTTCTTGTGGTAGCAAAATGACTTTCTATTTTTGAAGTGAAAAGCTGTGCAGTGTAAATTGAGATTGTGCCTGGTCTGTTGTTGTTACTGCTGTTTAAGTGTTGCAAGAAGAAATATTAAGTGCAAATTTATTCCAACTGATAAGTCAGTAACACCAGCACAATGTGCCTGATTTTTTTCCCTGACATGGCTTGGCAGTTGTGAAATAAGTATCAATCTTTCCAGAAAGAAAAACCACCAAATTACACATTTATCTATCTCCTCATTGCATGGACATATTCTGATCATATTCTCTTGCATCTAACTCTGGCACAAACATGATATGCTGCTGATATCTTTTTGTTCTGCCTTCTCTATAATGTTGCCCTACTGGTGGAAGAAAAAGTAATAAAATAACAAGAAGTACCATTTGCCTGCAAGCAAGAACTGGTGGGACTACAAAATGGACAAAGTAATAGAAAATGAAGAAGTTAATGTTCTCTGGGACATTAGTACTGTATTCAAACAGACAGGCACCTGCTATATAACACCCCAGATGTAACAATTCTTGATAAGGACAAAAAAGTGTGATGTGGAATATCTGGAGACAACAGAATAGAAGTGAAAGAACTGAAGAAGATCCCAAAATGGAAAGATCTGCAAATAGAAGTAGAATGACTGTGGCAAAACAAAGGAAAATAGTACCAATAGTAATAGGTACCTTGGATGCAAAACACCTAGAGCATTACCTACCTGAATATCATCAGCATTGACAAAATTAACACCAGTCAATTGCAAAAGGCAGCTTTACTTGGAATAACTTACATCCTGTGTCAATACCTTTAACATCATCAAACAACTTTGCCTTGGGAAGGACTGGCAATAGCACTTAGATTTATATGCTGCTTCACAGTGCTTTATAGCACTGTCTGGGTGGTTTACAATGTCAACATATTGCCCCCAACAATCTAGATCCTCATTTTACTGACCTTGGAAGGATGGAAGGCTGAGTGAACCTTGAGCCAGTCAGGATTGAACTCCAGTGGGCAGAATTAGACTGCAGTACTGCATTCTAACCAGTGTGCCACCTGGGCTCTAGATAGGTGGGTTAAAAAAAAGTCAGATCCAGTCTAAACATCTGGCTGACCATAATAAAATATAAAATAATAACATAAGATTCCAGGTAGGGTACAGAATTAAAATTATCATATGTAGAAAGAGTACCATTTTGAGGAGATCTAATTAATTAAATGCTGCAACCACATTGTTTATAAAATCCTTATTTTCTTTGAGATTGTGAATTTATTTCAGAAAAGTGAAAGCCTTCTCTGTAGATAGATAAAAATTGCTTGACTTAGCAAAAATCAGATGGTTTTAAAATTGGGGAAAAAAGTAGAGCCTGTACTCAATGAGATGTGTGAAATGTTATATCAGTGGATGTGTTCCAACTCTCTGCTTTACTGGATAAGAGATAAAGTAGGTAAACAGCATGCAGATAAATGGTCCTGATCTGTTCCAGAGAATGTCATGGGAAAAAGCATTATGCTGCTATAAGGACAGAAGAGAATTCATCTCTGTTAAGGTATGTTAGAATATAGTGCTTACAATATACCCCCCAATAAGAAATGAGCAGAAAATCCAACAGAAGCTGAAAGAGTCCTGATTTTTCATATTTAATACTGAAATACCAATAAAGTAGCAGAAACAATTGCTTAATTTTGTCAGTGCGATGTTTAGCTCTTGCAATATATTCTAGGGTTCTTACTCTTTGTTCCTCACCTCATTTTTAGATTCTTCCCCCATATGC